TCCTGTCTCGGCTGTCTCGGCTGGCTCGGCTGTCTCGGCTGTCTCGGCTGTCTCTGGTACAACCTGATTCGGAACGTCTTGTCCAGGCCTGTATTTACATATTATTAAAAAGATAGAAACTGTTACGTATTATTTAAAAAACAGAAAAATGGCATGAAATATATAATAATGTAAATTCAAAGTATACGTCCTGTTCAAATATCAAATCAAAATTTGCATTTTTTGGATTCAGCATTGATATTATCAATTCGTTAACATTTACATTTGTAATTTATTTATGTTTTACATTTGTATAAATTAATATCTTTAAAATTGATTATTGAAATATAATGCTATATACATATATAGAAACTAAATGACATAATGTAATATATTGACAGATATACTGCTATGGTGTCTGATCATAAATGTAAAGTACGGTACTTGAAGAAATTTAAATTCAACAAAGAAGTTAATTCTTTGCCATTTTGCAATTTTCGTTTTAACTAATGAGAAATTATTTAATTAAGATAAATGAATAATCGTTTATTAGGAGCAATTCTGTAAACATATTGCACATTATACATGCATGCTAAATACGCACCAGTATTTCGTTACATACGAACTAACCGCAATCGTCGCGATACGTTTGTCTCTTCTTTGCGTTTACATATATTCATTATTGATTCTATCATCACAAATTCCGTATTTGAGCAATATATAAGTAGAAAATATTAGTATTTACAATACTTTTTGATTATATTCTACAGGAAATATGATGATGGCCATATTATGTAAGAAATTTATATAATTTATATAATTTAAAAAAGCTTAAATATTTTGAGATTTATCAATTTGTAAATAACATGAAACATAATTTAAAATTTATTACATATTTTGTAACATAATATGAATTATACTTTTATTAGAAGTTAATATTTAATTTTCATATATCATTCATTTCATGTTAATGTTATTTAATATAAGAAAAGTGAATAATTACTTAACAATGTGTACTTCTTGAATCTCATGTCTCTCCGCTGGATATGATATCTGCGTTGCAACTTCTCGTCTTTTCATCTTCAATTTTTGCAGCTTAGTTTGTAGATTTTGGTCTGCCTTTTTCGCAGATGACAGTGAACTGTTACTAAAAAAGTGTTTCGGGATAAATATTAAAATTAGAAATGAGACTGTTTATTTAAGTAAATCGAAATATAAAGTAACACCAATTATGATCAAAATTAAACGTTAAATTACTACATGTAAAAGAAGGGTCCCGTTTGCCTTCAAAACGATTATCTATAGTTTCGCATATATATGTATGTATTTTAAATAAAATAATAAAATAAAAATAATAAAAAGTTTATTATTCTCAAGAAGTTCTTTACAGGTTTTAAGATGTTAGTAGCATGAAATTAAAGTTCTAATTAAATTTGGGATTATTATAATATTTCACATTGATTATGTGTTGAAAGACCGAAAGTAATTGTCGCGCAGTCAATTTCATTTAAAGTAAATTCGTATGCGTGTGTCTAACTTTGACCATAACTGGCGCTTCTTTGTATTTAGTTGCTCTGTGATTATATTACTATTTGTAAAATGTTTATGATAAGATGTATTTTGATAGAACAAAACCGAAGTCATAGACCAATCATCTCTTCGTATTATTATAAAGTTAAAAATAAATCAAGTAAAACGCAATTAACTTTTGTCTGTTTTGATATGTCTAGAAAATATTTGTTTTATACCCATGGTTTATGTTCCAGTGATCTCTCATAATTTTCAATTTGTCGGATAACAATTCAGTGTTTTCTTCCAAATTTTCTGAATATTCACACTGCGAGCAGGTTGCTAAAGTTCCATCCGTTATTTTGTAATTTTGAAGTAGTCTATATATACTCACTTCTTTCTTTATTTTATTGTAAATCATATTTTTCGGCCCGTGATGAATTTCCTAGTGATTTTGTATGTAATATAACTTATTAGCATCATATATATGTGAGTGACGACAAGGCTTTATATTACAATTTAGTGTTTTTTTTTCTTGATTATATTTCATTTTGTATCGTTGCAGTAGCGTATTAAGAATTTCTGAAGCAGCTACCGTTTCTGTTCTTCTTTCAGTTCCTTTCATTTTAACTTCTTTATCAATATTTTGCTTTGTTTCGTTTATTTCTGATTGCATTTTTTTTTCTTTTTCTAGCTCATTTTGTATGGATGCTTCGTCTAGCAACTGTACTCCGTGTACTTCTTCTTCTGATATGTCCCAATATTCGCTATGGAAGTCATAAGATTATTATTAAATATAGTTGATTAATTTTTGTTTTATATTAGTTACGTTCCGTGTCAATTTTAAATTACTTGTCTACAATGATTTGTAGATTACCAGTGACTACAATACGAGTAAATGGCATGGAATTATTATGTATTAATAAATATATGTAAATTATGTGATTACCATAACGACATGGTCATTACCAAGAACTTAATTTATTACAAATCATCTTAAATGTTACATGGTAAAATGTACTTAGCGTATATTCGTACGTAAAATAATGATTACTGAAACTGAATACTTATTTTCTTATACAAGATATATACATATCAGGGGAATTTATATAATATTAATTTATATAACACTAATTTCATGAAGATAAATGTTCAATTCCAATTCAAAATCTTTTCTGTTTTTCAAATTAATAACGAAATTGTAAAAACAAAATAAACAGAATGTATAAAATCCACTTTTCATGCTTTTGGGTATGATAAATATAAACAATATATTTTACATACGTAATATGTGGGATCAAGTGTCTGCTTAAGGCCATGAGTACCTCAGCAGGATGCGAATCCAAACCTTCTAATGGTATCGACGTCCAACAAAATGAGCATTTCGCATATTCGGTGTCCTCTATTTTGTAATTATTCAGTATTTTTCGTCCAGAATCTATTTCTACTGCTTTTGCAAAAAAACTTTTTTTGTCGTCTGTGTGATGCATTATCAAATGGTTTTCAAATGGTAATACTTTACCAAATTTACTTTTAATTTCTATATCACAATTTGAAACAAGACATATCCCAACGTCAATTTTCTTTCCATTTTGGCGATGAAGTCTAAATCTTGCTGCTACTGACTGATATTTTGGGTCTTCCATTATTTCTGATTTACTATGCTCTTTGTATAAATGACATAACATTCTAACATGATCGGTGATAAAATCAGGATTTGATTTTTGTCTGCAGCGTTCACATTTGAATAACTGAACCTCCGCATCTAATCCTTTATAAAATTGCACTGTATCCTCTGGTCGCTGTTGAGCCATATTCGTTAACACCGTTCTCTATCATGGATTGCTCACGACTAACTGCTTACTTGGAGAATTGTTTACTATTTTAAAATCATAGCTAAGACGTCGAAGGAAGATACACGTTTCCTTGTCAAAAAATGTAAATACTGATATCTTTAGTTTGTGCGTATTAAATATACCGTTTGACCGACAAATTTTGTAGTTCTACATCTCATTTCATATTTAATACAATTTTAATATTTAATAAAATTCTAAAACTTTAAATTATTGAAACACATAAAGGACGAAAAAATATTTTTATATTGGTAATATCTTTACTTTTAAAATATCAATCTTGAAATAAGATTATATAACGTTAAACCAACTTACTTAAAAAAATGAAAAAATTTTAATTAAACCAAGAAGAATATATTCTTGTTATTCAATAATAATAATTATGATTTAGGAGAGAGGAAATATTGTACCATATAGAAAATAACAATATTTTCAAATTGAGAATCAGAATTGCTTTAAATAAAAATGAAATTTTTATTTTATTGTACAGTTTCCTCGAAATAAACTATTCGTATTTTTAAATTGTTTTATTAAAATTAAGTGTACATCTCAATATGTACATGTAATAAATAAACGCCCAGATCCTGTATTCTTTAATTCGTTTATATGCCGTCATTATTTATTTATAACGATAATTGCGCTGATATTTTATATAATAAAAAGGCTACGCAACTATAACGAACACACAAGGGCTGCATAATAAGTTACATATATTGTGTAATAAATTTTAGCCTTAAGCCGTAAAAAATAGATCAGTTATAGTTGAACATAAGAAGAATTTTTTTTATATACATATTCATACGAAAATATAGACGTACTGGTTATAGCTGTCGTTCGCAAAAAAATTCGAAATTATACATATATTATGAAACGAATCGATTAAAATAACGAGAAAAGCAAATCTTACCATAAATTTTCAAAACTTAATAGTTTATTATAACTATTGAATTTAATTATTTGTTAATAGACTATATTTTATTATAATAAAAATTCAATTTTCGCTCTTTAGAGTGAGATTCGTAAAATAACGTAAAATAACGTAAAATAACTCGGAATAAAAAAATTTTAATGAGTAGAGATTTGTAAAATAACGAGCGATTTTATCAAAGGTTCGAGAATGTTTCGAATTCATTACTTGCTCAACAATTATAACAAAGTCACATAATATTGCAATTAATAAGAAAATAAGACTTTGAATATTAACGCATGATATTAGACGATTCACGGACTATTATTTTTATGATAACATTGACGACGCATATATACTATATACATATTCTTTAATATTGGAAAGTATTGTCTCCTTGAAACAATTTATTAATGTAAAGATTTTGAAATGTTTATACATAATACTCGTAGCAGTTAATAAAAATAGCTGAGGTATGCATGCTGAACGCGCAACACCGATTTTTAATTAATCAAAATTTTTGGAAAATTCAGAAGAATAAGAATTGTTAAATTTTATATAATAAATTTCTTAGTATAAAAGTTTTTAAAATCCCGTTATTATGAAATTTGGTTTATCTCGAAGAGTTGATGCCCGAGAAACTTTTGTTATAAAAAATTACTATAACGCATGTATTGTATTATTAAATATATTTCTTCGTAACTATTTCCATAAGGAAATCATTCTATCCATTTATTTTTAATAAGCGAAGATTTTTAATAATGTGAAGCAGAACATATTTTCTCGAATTTAAATTATATTAAAGATGCAATAAAAATGTTAATTGTAATTGAC